GTGATTAAATTCTTTTTAATTATTTTATATATTTTCATATAGTTATAATTTTCTATTTTTTTAATGATTTGTCTGTTGTCTGATTTCTTTGAGGAGTGCAACATATATGAAGTTGGGCTATTTTAAATTAAATGGATTGTGTTCTAAATTTACTGTCTGCGCTGAAAATGTTACAATTTATGTCACGTGCACTATAGATTTTTTAGTACGGGCAATCAATTTTGGAACATAGCCAAATTAATATTATTCTTGTGTCATGTCGAATTATAAAAGAGAATTCTCAAAGAGTTTTAAGCTTACTCGTTCACTGAAATCAAGATATGAAATGCAGTTCATTAAATACGATGAATTAAACCAGAATCTTAATCAATTTGATTGCGGAACAATTTACGATTAACAAAATTGCAAATAGTTTATAAAACGAAGAAATATCAGCAATGTGGATTATTTGTGTAAGAATTATATTAAGTAATTTATACATAATTAATATTTAAGGATTTTACATATTATACGTAACTTTATTTCAATATTTATACAGACAAAAAATTTATAAATTTTTCGATTTCAAAATTTGAGCAACTAATCTTTTAAATCTGATGATTTAATAAATATTTTTATATATTATAGATATTAATTGGACTTTTCCAACTTATAATTCTATTGATGTTGTCTGGTATCCTATTTTCCGTTGCTGCCATTTCGCGTTTGATGGAAATAATGATCATCCTAATATATCCTGCAACCATATTTTTATTACGACAATCTGCAAGTTTGATCATTGTGAGTATATAGTTAGAATTTTATTAATTATATATTTTTTCGAAAATTTGTTTCTTTATATCTTTGTCTGTATATTTCAAAAGATTCTGAAAAAATCTAAAGATCTTAGTATAAAAGAGAATTAATAAATATTTTATTAAGTAATGTAATCAAGACCAGGGGCAAGTAGCCCCATGGTCAGTTAATTTTGAACACCTGGTCCTGTACAGCTTCTCACAATCCTGATGGCAAGAATGACATCTTCGGCGTTTCACAAACTGTACATTCTTGTTAAATGCGATCAGCAGAAAACGACTCTTCAACCTTCTGCTCAGCTTCAGCTTAACATGCAAACTCCTTTTGTACCATATAGAAGTAACATTCTTGAAGAAATACCGCAAGATATTCGATCTTTAAAAAATGAATCTTCTGCTATAGCAGACAATTTATTAGCAGACAATTTTATAATTGAACCTGCACAAAATCAATCAGAATAATTGCCTGATGGAAGAATCAATTGCACGCAAGAATACTTAATATTAACTGTTGATAAAAAAAGGATTCACAGGAAGAGAATCAAATTATTTGTACAAAATAATTTATTTTAGGTTTGTTCGCGTCACAACATGCTCTTGCTATAGCTTCTAATCACTTCAATGTGCGCGTTATAGTGAGTAAATGCTAGGAGCATTTTAGAACATGTTAGAATGTGCGACGCGAACAAATCTTTTGTTTATACAACTTATGTTTTGTTATATGACTTATATAAACATGAAATGAAATGTATTATTATTATGAAATCTATTGTATAATGATCTTTTGAGAAATTAAAAATTTTTTTATATGTTTATGAAAAGAGAAGATAAAAGATTTTGAGAACTGTTTTAGTTAAACACACTATATATACAAATAGGAGTAAACGTAATGAAGTAGTCAGTTTATTGCTACTCTAGTGCAATCGGTTAAAATTTCATATTATATGACAAAAATATATGACAAAATTTATTGTGTAAATCACACATTCTGTAAAAAAATTATTTTATAACAGTATGTAAAATTTTGTACATATTATATAATGATTTTTTATTTAAATTAAATTAAAATTATTGTTTTTACAGAAATTTATCGAAGACGAAATGAATGTAAGTTTTCCAATATTTTCAGCTACATTTATTCTAATAATTATGTCATTAATTATTTTACAGTTGGAGGTTATATTGATTGATTTGAGTGATAAAATTCCTTTCTTGCGGAACATTTTTCGTCCAGAATATATTCCGTATTTAATCACAGCTGCAACAATGTTGATAGGATGGCTGCTTATATCTTGGATATTTCATGCATGTATCTAAAATTTTCTTGATTGATTTATAACTAATTATAATTAATCTTTTTACAGTTAATTTCGATGTTACTTGTTCCTATAACAATATGTACCATCGCTCTAGTGTTAATGTGTCCAACAACAAGCAAATGGTATTTCCAGCAATTGGAAACGAATTTAGAAGAAATAATAAATAATGTCGTTTATAAGTTTCAAACATTTCGATGATGTCAATAAAATAAAATTCAATAGGTTAATATTTTCAATTACTTATAAGAATATTAACGTTTGTATATTTATATTTGCCTTTATATTATATATATAAAATTTATTCAGTTTCTGTACAAATCTTAATAAATTAGGATGATATATTTAAAAAAAAACAAAATTATAACAGATAAATTTATAAATTGATTATTGAATCGCGTTCAGCAAAATGTTTATTTTACAATTGTTATTTTATAGCTATCTTCCAGAGATTATAAGACTATTTCTCTAAAAGTATAAGAAGAAAATTTCCAGTTGTAAAATAAATATTTTGCTAAACGCCGTTGTTTCATAAATAATATACTGATTTAACTATTATATATAACATTTTTTATTTTGCAGGCTAAATTCTAAAACAACGTGAATTTGTCCATAAATATCAATTAAATCGTTTCGAAAAATTATACTCGATTATGATAATTCTAAAATTTTGAAGCATACGATTCGGAAACAAATCGCGTGTGTAAATATGTCTCATGGTAAAAGGGAATTATACAGAACGGAAATATAATACAGAAAATGGGAGTGCAGAATTCAAAACGGTGAGTGCTCAAAAGTATACATAATTTGCGGTTTAAAAAATGATATTTTATTATTGATAGAAAATATATTTGTTTTAACAATATTTTCAATATAGTATAGAAAAATTAAAAAATTGTAGAAAAATTAAAAAATTATTAGATAATTAAACGCGCAATAACAGCGTTAAATAAAATAAATAACGATCTGTTCCTTCTTTTTACTTCTTTGTAATTACGTTAGTTTCGGGAATTATTTCCTTGATGATACTTTCCTTGTCGGTCTGTGTAATTTCTTTCTGCTCGTAGTTTGATTGAATATCAGTCGAAAACGCTCTTGGTTGCGCTTCATTATTCGATTGGGACGATGAGTCAGTGAGTTGAGATTCGCGAGGATTATAAAATGGTCCTCCCGCATTTACAGTGATTGCTGGTACATTACTTGCTGCAGCTAGAGAGTTGTAGCTTACTGGATAAGAAGTTCCATAGGTTTCATAGGCTCCATAAGGGTAAGAACTTGGATAGGTGTAAGAATTTGAACTAGGATATGAAGGATAATATTGAGGTTGATAATTATGGGTACCGTCAGTTCCATATGCGACAGGGAATTCCACATTTACGGGAAAGAAGGTTGCAGAAGGTCTCCTATGATGTGAATGTTTTCCTTCCTGTAAAAAAAAATTCAATATTTATTATTTGTAAAAATCACATATTATGATATATTTAGTATTTAAGTGTTTTTGAATAGAATTTATTGTTTTAAAAATCAGTACTCGCATTTTTTAAGTATCATTTCTAACTTAAATATGTGCAATTGATACCGATCTCTTTCTGCACGAATTTATATAATACAAGCTATATAATAATTTTCTATTTATAATTTTCAATTGATTGCACGATTAATGTTTCTTTTTATACACATCAAAAGATTCCAAATGTAGTTTTGCTTCAAAAATATTTATTGCTGTATATCGAGTATAATAAAATTGGATGTTAATCGGAGGATTGAAAGAGGGAGAACAATATTGAAAAGATTTTTATGAATAATTGTTTTTATTTTGTGAACAAATAATACATAAGAACGTTTTCGTTGAAGATACGTATTTTGTACAAAGTTTTAAATATTTTAGTCGTTTTATTTTTTTTTAAGTTTTCTTGGTCCAATTCCTTTAATGAAGTCATCGAGGATATAAAGGATTAAACCTGCGCGTGAAATCAAATATTATATAGCTCTTCTTATACGTACTGCAGTCGAGCTTTTTATAAAGATTTTTACGAAATTTTATATAATTTTTTTAAGAAACAATAGAATTGCATATGGGAATCTTTTAATGTTGTATTTTTTATTTTTAAGAATATCGCACTATTAGGACATCGCGTTCGTATTATCTCGAAATTATTGTGATAATTATTATTTAATATATTTATTATTGTGGAACCAAAATTATTGTGATAATTATTATTTAATATATTTAATTGGTACTTACCGTTTCTCTAGCTCCTTTTGGAGCAAAGAATAAGGGTTGGTCTGATATGATGTTAGAAATGCTAGGGTCATGTTCCCTGGAGATCATCGAGGATGTATGAGGTATGGAGAAAGGTACGGTATCTATGGAATCGATAGTTGCGCCAGCATTTACCATACGAGGATCCTGAATCTTGATTTTGTGGGGTGATATCTCAACAATGCGGTTTTCTGGTCGGCAATTACATTCGAATGTAGGTTCTATTTCACAATCGGTGCTTTGTCCATATTGCGATATCACCTATATAGACCAACAAAAAATAAAACAATATTTTATTTAATATGGAAATACTTTGGTCTACATTCTGTAACTCATTATGACAATAATGACATCATAACGGTATACATAATATATGATAAAACGACAATGTAACGATGTCGTTACTATTTTTAACAAAAAGTTACAGGTTTTTATATATAGAATATGATGCATCTATTACAAAAAAATTATAGATTCAGAAAACAAAAAGTACAAGAACTTGATGCAAACTTAACTTATAACTTAAAAAAAAATTAAAAAGTATTTTTAGAACTATTAATAATATTTTCTACTTACATCGGTAAAAGCTGTAGGGTAACCGAAGCTGTAGCTACCAATTGGTTGAAGTTTAGGCGATAGTGGTGGTATTAATTTGTTACATTTTTTGCAGGTAGGCAGATGGATAATCGATTGCTGTAAAAGTAGCAATAAATCTGTTTTTTATTGCTGCACTTTCTTTGGTATACACAGTATAATAAGTTGAAATGAAATAAATATACGTTTATTTCACTTCAATTTATTGCATCGGTTCAAAGTGTAGCAATAAAAAAGACCTAATTGAATTGTGAAGGAGGAATAAATCAAAATTAATTTATATATTTTTTTAAATAGATTTCAATTGCATAATATTATAATCAATTTAATTTAATTGGAAAATTAATTAAATTAATTACTAAATATTTTTATAGATTTTTATTGATTTTTATAGGTTTAATCATTTTAAAGTTGAATGTTTAAAAATTAAGATAAATAATGAGCTTTGAGTAAATTTTGAAAAGAAATTATCTTAAAATTTATCACTTATTACTATCAACTTTCAATTTTTATAATTTATCAAATTGAATCTTTATAATTTATAATTTAATCTTTATAATTTATTCAAATTAATATTTCTTTTTACCTGTGGTATCGGTCTAAACATCGGCCTTTCTATCTTGGATGGCTGCGGTGTCGGTTGCGAATGAATGACATGGACCGTGTGAACTTGTGATTGTGTCGGCTGCACAATAGTTGGTTTGTCGCATGGTGTAGAAGCTGGAGTTGGCGGTACGATGTCAATAATCGGAATTGTAGCTGGCGCTGAAGCAGGCAATTTTACTGGCACAGGAGATGGTGGTGGTGCTACGAATTGAGGAGCTGGTTGAGGTATAACTTGAGGCTGAGGATGTTGGTGGATCACAACCGGCTGTTTAGGATACTCGACAATTGTAGGTACCGGCATTGGTACTGATGCTGGTATCGATATAGGTTGCACAATAACCACCGGTTTCTCTTGTTGAACAATCCCTTGTGGTCTTATCTCCTGCGTGCAAGGAATCTTTTCTGGCTTTCCCGAGCGAACTTCTACGCAGAAGGTTGTTGCCGATTTCTTCGCCCTATCCTTTTCCGCACCAGTTCCTTCTAGTTCTATATTGGTATTGGCGAACGTTTCTGCTTCATTAATTGATTTCTCAATTGCCTGAGATGAAGGTGCAGCCTGACAGGCGACTAGCGCCAGCAGGAATAACGCGCAGCAACTCTTCAGATACATTGTTGTTCGTAGATCGAAGTCAAAATCGAACTGATGAAGCAGGAGTAGCGCGCTCGTTTTTTAAAGGAATCCGCGATGAACCACGAAATTAGAGTCGACAATGAAACCACTCGCGTTGCTTGCGAAATTGTGTTGCAAGTGATTCGATGCATCGGCAAATTTTAATGCGTGATTAAACAATATATGCGTCCTCGGTTTCATGCAATCACGCGTGATGATATCATTGATCGACTATGGGCAAAATTTATTAGAAATTAATGTACTTTTATATAGAATTACATAAATTTTTATGCATTTAATG